GGAAACCATCCTGAGTGGTCTGGCGGCTATATGCCATCCATTTTGTTCTTCTAAACCCAAATAAGTGGTTTTCTTTCAAGAATTCTTTGCTTTACCACGTTCACGTTTAAAGACAAAACATGTAATTTTTTTAGTTCTCTGTTAAAATACATGGCTATTAATTTTTTAAATAAATAAAATTTTTAAATAAAGATACATTTTTATTAATGTTGCATGTTCTACTAAATTTTGTGCAAGATTGGTTATAGTTGTAGTTTAAAGTATTAATTAATAGGGAAATAAATGATGGCTATGAAGATTAAATAGAGTTGTTTTTTTAACGTAAGAACCATTGCTCTGCAGCATCTGAGCTTTTCACAACTTCCTCTCTGCCAGTATCGCTTACTGGTATTTTCTGAAACACTGGTAAGTGATGACTGCTGGTAAACATTTTGAACTAGTTCTGTCTGGACTTAATAAAACCTTCACTCTCCCTATTAAAGATAGGCTTTATAGTCAATAAGGTTTTGAGACTTGTCAGTCATTTCCATATATAAACGATTCCTCCCCCCCCCGGCGGGGGTTTCTGGACAACTGCCCCTCTCAAGACAGCCTCATGAGACAGGGAAAATAACGGGGTTATGTCTCCAGAATTTTTAGCTGCCTGTAAGCAAGCAGGGCAAAATTAGTCAATCAGTGGTCCTCATTTTTTTCTGCTTGCACAGTTATTCCTAATGAATATTTTTATTGGTGTTTATTTTTAACGTCTTCTTGTCTTACTGACAAAGACGAATAAGCTGTTTTCTGAGTGTCATTGTGTTTTTATGAATCTCAACAAACAGTTCCGTTCCCTAAACGTGTGAAACCCTGTTTTTAGTCAAATTATAATTCTGGACTTTGGCTGTGCTGGGCTGCTAAAGAAGGATCTACTTTTCCTTAACAATTGAAAAAGAAGGGAAAAAAGCTCCCAGTTGGGAAATCACATATCTCCCTAACTAGAGGGATGTGATCCAACATGGCTTTGAACTTGTAAGAAAAATTTCTGTTTCTGAGCTAGACAAAGCTATTGTATGTATTATTAAAAAAAATAAATCTGTTCTCTCCCATGAAAAAGCTAAAATGCAGGTCTTACACTGATCAATTTTTAAATGGTCTTCAAGGACTGGAAGAAAGGTTCATATTCGGCATTGTCTTCTGACACGTGGAAGACCATTTTCGTTAAGTTTGTGCTCTTTGTTCAGTTAGAAATGTCAATTTTTTTGTTCAATCTACCATGTCATTACGGAAATTGATCTCGAAATAATAACTTCTACCAAAGATTAATAAATTCTTTTGCATTTTTCATAGCCTACAACTGCTGTTGCAGCAATTTTTACTCTGCTTTCACTCTGTTTATCTTCTGCTTGCAAAAGGTAACACGCAGAAACAACATGCAGATCTAGATGGTGGAAAGTGTGCAGCTGAGTTCATAACCATGGAAGAAACACGTTGCCTAACTTTTTTTTTTGCTTGGAAATTTTTGAACGAAGAAAAGACCCGCTTCACCCATTTGGCTGTCAAAAATCAATACTAACACAGCCTTCCTAAGTTTTGTTTCACTCGTCTCCGATTTCGGACATTCAGCTTTTCCCACACGTCGCTTTCCAGAAACTCAAGCGCCTGCGGTCGGGACTGGAAATTTGGACCTCAGCTAAAGCGCCGGTTAAGGGCTCTGCCTGAGCTACTCGGACGGGAAAC